ATCACCATGCATTTTAAAAAGTAATAAAGAACGAAATAGCTTCGACATTAATTAACTAATCCTCCTCGAATAAATCCCAGATTTTTCGGCCCTCATAAGTTTCGGCACGACAAATATTAAAAAAAAAATTCTGATACTCGAGTAAATTCAAAAAGAAAAAAAAAATGAAAAAATTTAAACTACGTAGAGCAAATTACGACATCTTATAGAGTTGTACCCTAGATTTGTAGTGCTGGAACGTCAATTACGACATCTTGGTTTGATCCGTCAGCTTCGTTTCTCGTGCCTGATTGTGTTGTCGTCGAAACTTCTGTTGACACTTGTTTCTTGTTCCTTCAGCTTCGATAGAGTTCGATGCGATGCCTGATTGTGATGTAGACAACGACAAATGCTAGAATGACAAAGAACCGCATAACGATGTGCTTATTCAAGACCGTCAGTGTTGCCCCGAGCGCCATCGACAAAATCCCGTCGAACAGACCAATGTTTTCGTAAAAGTCGATAAAGTTGGCCATCGGAATGATGTGAAGGCATAAAACGTAGGAATGGCCAACGCCCAACCATCAGTGACGCACTGTCCTATATACGCGCTTAACACGAATAATACTATGTTCATAAGCCAACTCATGTCACGGGTTTTTAGCCAACGGAGTTTGCCGTTCCATTGAGACCGGTTATAAATTGTGATGACTATAAATATTATATTGAGGCCGTCGCGGAGGAAACACATACTATGTTTATTGTGTATGAGTTGTGACTAAATAACTTATAGTTTTAATTAGAGAAAAAAATAAAATAATTATTATTATTTAGTGATGATATGTTTATAGTTATTGATAAATCCTATTAAAATAAATAGCAAATAGCTATGACATTATAATGCATGAATAAGTCCCAGAAATGGACTTCAAGTTTTGTCACAATGAAAATAATAATAATTCTGATAATTTTAGAGTGTTAAAAAATAAAAAACAACAGCTAATTAAACATCAAATTAAATCCCCCGCTACAAAGCAGACGATCACATCCTGCCCGCCTCAAGATCAGTACCTGCAACGGTTCAACCCTTGACTTTTTCCGTGCTCCTATGGTTCCGACAGTATTCACTGTAATGCCTGAAAATGAAGAGTGGCAATAGCAGTAATAACAACGAGCCTCTTAAGAATATGCACACTTCCTCTAGTTAACGTAGCTCGCAAAGTGATGAATAGTACACCATCGAATACTCCCGTGTTCTCGAAAGCCCCAATCAGATTGCCATACGTATGAAATGTGTTCAACAGATGTATGCTATGATTAACGATATAACGTCGTGGAGATAAAGTCCTAGATACGCACTCAAGATGAACAAAAAAATATTTGAAGCCAGCCCAGTCAAACGGTTCTTCAACCAACCCGGCTTCGTGTGCCAGTCGGGTGTCGAATAAATCAACCTGGTTAATCCTACGATTATTAAAGGATAGATCCCGACAAATGTATACACCGCGGAAATCAACCTCGCACTTTTATCTAGTGGTTTTTTTTTTGTAAGAGCTTGTATGATTGAATTGTCGGTGAACCTCAGCATGAGTGTAGCAGCAAGTATTGACGATACAGATAACACAACCATACCACTCTCCAAATCTTGTCATTAATCATGGTGCACCCACAAACGCTATATTATATATAGATACGTAAAGGGCAAATTAATTATTAATTAGTGACATGTATTTATATAGTTCCAGCTGTTGCAGTCGTCGTCGCCGTCGCTGCCGCCACATCATTTCCGGTTGTTGCAATCGTCGTCGTCACCGTCGTTCCCCCGCCTCATTTCCAGCTGTTGCAGTCGTCGTCGTCTCCTCTACGATTTCCGCTTTCAACCCCAACTATTGCAGTCAAGCCCTCCGTTCCCATTTCTGTTTTAGCTGCAGCTGCACTCGACGAGCCATCCACCGCCGTAAGTGGGAACTCCGGTGGAAGAGTTGGCGGCGTTCGCTCAGATGTTTCTCCTTCAACCAAGTTCTCCGTGTTTGATGATAATTTTTCACTTTGATTGTTTGGAGCTCTGGCCGCCATTGTTCTTTCACTTGTTGTTCCCTCTTTTCCTTTTCACCGCTGTAATTGCTATCTTGTAGTGTCTTTACTGATCAGTTTTTCAATTGACAACTCATGTAATTTGGTTTATCAATTAGATAAATATATTATAGGGTAAATTACAACCACCCCTGATGTATGGTCAAATTACGAACCCCCCTCTTGTTTGGGTAATTACATCCAACCCTCTAACTATAAATTTACTTACACATCCACTCTTACGGTTTCAAATTTAGTAGAATTTTCAAGATTATATAGAATACTATCACTTTTTTACCCATTTTTTCCTATTAGAACTCCACACTTTGAAGCAAGATGATCATAATATGCGTCTTTTGGCTTGGATATATCCGATTGTGGTGCATCAGAAACTGTATTTTTACACAAAACGAGTACAAACACTACAAGAAATTTTATATTTGACAACGAAATATTTTGTTGTTGGAAGGGCAAAATTTCGTTGCCAATATAATTCGCAACGAATTTTGTTTGTTGCCATGTTCGTTGCAAATTCCGCGTTATTGAAAGTTCATGGCAACGAAAATCAAAAATCGTTGTGCATACATTATTATAGCCAACGAATCTATTTCGTCACCCAAAATATATCGTTGCAAATACGTTTATAATCCAAAACGAATTTGTTCCGTTGCCAACTATAATTCGTTGCCAATACATTTATTATATACAACAAATTTATTTCGTCGCCAATGTATTTAGTATACACAACGAATTTATTTCATGGCAAAAGATATATATGCACAACAAATTTATTTCGTTGCAAAAGATATGTAAATAGACAACACAATATACCACTGGTCCGGTTTCGTATCGAAGGCCGACGACCCACATCCATCGACCCGACCCGACCCAAATCCATCACATCCATCCTGTTTGGATTCGGAATTATTGGGTCGAACTCAGGGCCGGCCCAACGGGCCCTGCTTGTTAAATATCAAATATATGTAGACATGACAAGAGAAGGATTCGAACCCGGGTTGATTTCATGTTAGAGAACCCTCTAACCGATAGGGCAACAGTACATTTATGTTAATAGACTTCAAATAAATTTGTAAAAACTAAATATACAAGGTAAAATGATTTAAATAGTTATATAAATAATGTCAAATAAATTATATAAATACATAATACTATATGTATTTTATGTTAAAAAAATAAAACAAATTACGATAAAATTCAATCCTAAATATAACATCTATTATCAATTCTCCCTTATTAATAAATGTGTATATAATAATTTTTTAAAATATATAAGCAATTGATTTAATTAAATATAAAAAAATGCATGAGTTATAATATAAAGAAATAAGATTTTTCTTATAATATTTTCATATATATAATATGTATATAAATGTATTGATTTAATAACATATACCATAAATTAAAATCAAGAAAAAAGAGTTGGTTTTTTAATTGGCAACGATTATATTTTGTTGTCAAATCTCTTGGAGCATTTACAACAAAACATTTTGTTGTCTTTCGTCACATACTAGTGACAAAATAAGTTTGTTGCCGTTGTAAATGTATTTACTACAATTTTATATCGTAGCAAAAATAAATATTCTTTTGCAACAAAACAAGTTGTTGTCTTACATGCAATTCGTTGTGAAATATATATAATACTATTCACAACAATATATTTCGTTGCCTATGAAATTCAAAGGCAACAAATATATCTTGTTGCAAAAATGTTACTCTTTAGCCACAAATACTATATTTCGTTGCTAAAATATAACCATTGGCAACGAAACTAATTTCGTCGATATAGAAATCGTTGCCTATTTTACATTTTCTTGTAGTGAAACTAGAGCACATTCCATGAAATCTAGATGAGTATGTTGAATTTAACACCTTAATGGCAGACGTGTAAGAAAAAATCATAGTTGAGGAGGGTAGATGTAATTATCCAAACAAGAGAAATTTTTTCGTAAATTAACCATACCTCATGGTGATTGTAATTTACCCTAGATTATATTATACACATATATGCATGATGCATATATGTACAACTTTGCCTATTTTCGTGCACATGATTTTTGTGTGAGTACAAGACCACAAGCAAGGTCTGCTCCCCTACCCCAACAACTTTTGTCTTTGACATTTATTAATGACAAAATTAACAGCCCCAACATTCTTTTCTTGGTAAACCCAATCTCGTACGTACATGCTATTACATATCCGCTTTTAGAGTGCATCTTTCTCTCTCTCTCTTTATATCTCTCTATCTCTATCCAATCAGTGTCATATTCTAAAATCATTAGCAACATCATCTAGTCCATTTATATTCTAAAATCACTTATTATAACCTTTAAAACTTACAATAGACATGAAAGAAAAAAGGTACCAACTCTCCTAATGAGAGTTAGTTAGTTACATATGAATAGAAATATGTAATTTTCAAGTTTATATGATCAAAAATCCTTAGTAACAAAACAGCTATCGAAACATAGTTACGTAATGAAACCGATTATTACAACCAGTCGATTATTACAACCGACCATTAAAAAAAAACAATATGCTGCTCTCGTTCCTCATTGGAACTCGTTTCTTGATAGATGATATAATGCTTCATGAATTGTAATAAAACAACAGCGAAAACAACCAGATACGGAACATACTCGGGATATTTGCAGCAAACCATTGTTGCCTCGACCAATATAGCCATAAATAAATCGAAATGGTCGAAAACTTGAGAACCCACAATAGATTGAGCAATGGCATTACATGAAAACAAATGGTGAGTCTAAATGTAATTTCCCAAATATTGTCGACAAATAATACTATCGACAAGGTAACAAGGAAAACTACGGGATCAAAGAACCATCTAAAAGACGGAGATATTTTCAACGGCGGTTCGATTTTATGCATAGTTCCTAGGTATGCAAAATACATTAAGTAGGCGTACGACGCTACGCCGCCTACAATACCAATTGAATTGTTATTAGTAACTAAGAAAAGAAAGATAAGACACATGAGTGAGGGAATAAATAAGAGGTTCTGAACAACTCTTTTAACAAGTTCTCGAACCAGTGTTTTATTTTCGTCGTCATCTCCGATCATCATATGGCAGTTGAGAATAATATAATCGATAAACCACCTACAAATATTTGCATAATTAATTAAATAATTTTATTATAGTAATTATAAGGAAACAAATATATCAATCTTTGTGATTTTTTTGTTAATTTTTTTTCAGTGTGGATTATGGTGATACTTACCCTTGCCGTCGTCTAGTAATGTTAGATCGATCCATCTCGATTTCCTGTAACAAAATAAAAGGCCGACAATCAGCTTCAAATGTGTGTATTTATTTTCATATAAATTCTTTTGTAAAATTGAAGCAAGTTCGAAATAATCTTACACAAAAAGTTGTAGAAAATAATATCAAGAGAAGATTAAAAATAAATAAAAAAAATTGAGAAAGATACCATTAGGGTTGTAATGGTGGTGGAGATCGACTGAATGGAAAATTGAGAAACAGATTGAAGCCAAGAAATAAGGTTTTAAATATATTGATTAAATTTAGGGTAAATTACAACCACCTCGAGGTACGGTCAAATTACGGAAAAAAACCTTCATGTTTAGGTAATTACAATCACCCCTTCAACTATAAATCTTCTTACATGTCCACACATGCGGTGTCAAATGTAGTGGAATCTTCTAAATTACATGGAATAATCTCAATTTTGTACCCGTTTTATCCCATTCGAACTCCACATTTTGAAGCAAGATGATTGTAAAATATGTTTTTTGGCTTGTATGCATTAGACTGTGGTGTTCGAGAAAATTCCACGGAATCTAGAAGATTATGTTGAATTTGACATCATAAGAGTGAACTTGTAAGAAGATTCATAGTTGAGAGGGGTAGTTGTAATTATCCAAACATAAGGAATTTTTTCGTAATTTGACCATACATCAGATATGGTTGTAATTCACTTTTAAATTTATTTAAAAAAAAAATACTACATTGACTTATGAATGCGAGATACTTGAGGCTTTAGTTTATCAATAATCTAAACTAACTTGACAAACTTAGCCGAAAATCATTCCAATAAAATAGTTTGAAAAATTATCTTGGTTAAGTATGATCCCTTTTTTAAATGATTATCATAAACAAGAACAGTGGTAAAACGATGTGGTTTGATCTTCATTTTTCTTTTATTTTATTTTTTTATTTTTAAATTTTATTTTTTCCATCGATTTGAACTTCAATTTTCGGATACATCACATATAGTAGAAATTCATTGGAAAGAAAAGATTTTTGCTAGGAAAGAAAAAAATTCCAGACTAAAAGTGCATAAAAATAAAATTTGTGGAGCGGAAGTCCATAAATAAATAAATAAGTACTAAATTAAAATAAGAAAAATAATGAAAAAAATGTTTTTCTTTTTCAGGGGCGGGAGCCACCTCAGTCTCTGGGGCATTTTTTTTTTACAATATTTCGAGATTTTTTTTTTTGAAAACTGGGGTGATTTTATGATTGATTTCATAAATACAATAAAGCGTCATTTAAAACGACGCTCTTTAAGAACCGTTGGATTGTGTCTGGATCAATGGCCATCTCTTCAATTATGTCTTCTTAATCTGACGGCCCGAGATTGATCTGGACGATCGGACGGCCCTTAAAAGGCGTCATTCAAAACGACGCCCTTTGACCCGCCACATTGGATTACAGCGTCATTCACATGTACGCCTTTTTAGCAGCCGTTGGATTGTGTTTATATCAACGGCTGGATTTGAGCTGAAGGTTTTTAAAATTTACTTAATTCTTTTTTATTGTTAAATTGTAATACTTAATTGAATTTTAATTTTAAATTAATTATATGTTGTATTTTAAATTTTTTCCTTGATTTATTTATGCAATTTATTTTATAATTCACTATAAAATAATACAAAGTTAATTAATTATAACCTAACAAAAAATTAAGAAATAAAGAACTCTTTTATCAATTATATTATTTTTTTGTGAAATGAACAGTTTTTTTGCATAAATTATAAATAAAGAACTATTTTGTCAATTATATATATAACCAACCCCTAAGGTATGGTCAAATTACAAAAAAAACCCTCTTGTTTGGATAAAATTACATCTACCCCTCTCAACTATGAATCTTCTTACACCTCCATCCTTATGGTGTCAAATTCAACATAATCATCTAGATTTCGAATAATGTGCTCTAGTTTGTACTCATTATGTGTAAAAATACAGTTTCTGATGCACCATAATATGATATATACAAGCCAAAAAACACATTTTATGATCATCTAGCATCAAAATATAGAGCTCGAATAGGATAAAACGGGTACAAAAGTGATAATATTACATATAATCTAGAAGATTTCACTAAATTTGAAACCACAACAGTAGACGTGTAAGAAAATTTAGTTGAGGGGTGGTTGTAATTACCCAAATAAAAGGGGTTTTTTCGTAATTTAACCATGTCTCATGGGTGGTTGTAATTTACCCTATAAAAAAATATACAAATTTAAATCCACTAAACATCTACCTAATTCGATTTTGATTATGGATCGAAGGTATGTGGGGATGCGGATCAATTGTACTAAAGCAGACGTTAAACCAAAATTCTTTTTAAATATAAATAATAATATATTCCGAATATTAATTACGAAAAAAATAAAGACCGTTGATTATTTCTTAGAAGACTATTTGACTGGTCTTCAACATAAAAATAGGCCTTTTGCTACAAATGTTTACATCCATTTGAAAAGCTAAATTCTGTCATTCCGTTTTTTTTTATTATACAATTCCAGAAATAGAATGTTTGACTAAATAAATATTACTTAATTTGTTGTTGAAATTGCCTTTGTGTTTTTACTAGGTTTTATAAAAAGTTGCCCAAACTGGAAATTCAGAAATGAATTCCTAGGAATTAGTAAAGCAATAATGTAATGGAGCCCATTATATTATATTATTTTGTGGGAATGAAACTACAAATAAATGTAACTACTTAATGAAACATTTGTTATTTATTTCTTAATTATAAATAATTTTACGATTTAAATTTGCAATTTGTAACATATTTTCATTCTATATTAAATTATTGCAATTTATAAACAGCAAAATATTGAAAAAAAAAAAAAAAAAAAAAAGAAGAAGAAGAAGAAGAAGCCGAACAGGAACTCAAATCCACTACCACAATCCACAGTAGCATAGTTTTGAAAAAAAGGCAAAAAAAACAATATTTTCCATGTGAAAAATATTCGATTACCGCACAAATTCGAATACAATCACTTAATTAGGATACAAATAAACTAGGTACGGAACATAGTCCAATTGCAACGAAATACAGAAATATTAAGCATCCAAATTAAAAACAAATAGTTCAACTAATAATTAATTAAAATCACAAAACATAAGCAATAATAATAATAATAATTCCGCCGTAGTTGTCATCAGAAGTTCCATCCTGTTACATACATGGACAAAATAAAAAAGAAAAATCTTAATGATTTGAGTGCTTAAAATCTAAACAGTAATAAATTGCAAATGTAAGAATATTAAATATGTATTAGGGTTAGAGTGCTGTAAACTCACAGGATGTTAGCTGCAGGAAGTATGTGGAGTATACACAAGAAGGCGACCACCCGGGATGGAGCGTCGTCCAAGGTCTCGCTGAGGTATGTGCACCCCGCAAGTATCACCACATCTACGCCGAACTTGACAGCTCGGTAAAATCTAATCGGGTTCCGGTTCGGTTTGGCGGCTAGTGAGAACAAGATAAAGATGTATAGGCCAAAAGTTGCACCGATTGCAATCTTCGCGAAGGCGTATCCTAGATCATCAGCACCGAACATGTTGTGTAGTTTGTTCCTCATGCTACCGTTTGTGGTGAAAAGAACCCACGTGAGCGCTTTACGAGCCAAGGCAACGGCAGCCCCGAATGCTGCAGCAGCCATTTTTTCTTCTCTTGAGTTGTTTGTGAAAATGCAAATATATATATATATTTTCAAAAGAACTCAGTTTTCTGTGGAAAATCTTCTCAAAAAACTAAATTTTCTCTCGAAAAGCTAAGAACACATGAATTTAAGTAGTATGTATGTAATGGGCTGTTAAATGCAACCGTGTATATATATATATATATATATATATATATATATATATATATATATATATATATATATATATATATATATATATAAATTTTTGATATCACATGAGTCTGCATTTCTATTTCGGGTGAGCAACCTGATACCAAGTAAAAAGACAAAAATAACTTCACCAAAAAGGTTTTCATTTAATTTTTTGACAGACCTTTAATTAATTGTTTTTCACATACAAGCTGCAAAAAATGGTACTGGAAATTACCTTTTTTTTTTTCTTTACTGTTATTAATTAATGGGTAAATTACAACAATCCCTTGAGATATGATAAAATTACGCAAAACCCCCTCCTGATTGGGTATTTACAGCAACCATAAATTTTCTTACACGTCCACCCTTGCGGTTTCAAATTTAGTGGAATCTTCGAGATTATATGGAATATTATCACTTTTGTACCCATATTATCCCTTTGAGCTCCACATTTTAAAGCGAGATGATCATAAGATTTTTTTTTTGGCCTGTATATAACAGATTGTGGTGCATTAAAAACTGTATTTTTCCACAAAACGAGTACAAATTAGATCACATTCCACGGAATCTACATGATTATGTTGAATTTGACACCATAAGGGTGGAGGCGTAAAAAAATTCATAGTTGAAGGGGGTGATTATAATTATCCAAACAAGAGATTTTTTTATAATTTAACTATACCTCAGGGATGGTTGTAATTTACCCTTAATTAATTAGGTTCTATGAGACAAAAAAAATTCATAGTTGAAGGGGTAATTATAATTATCCAAACAAGAGATTTTTTTATAATTTAACTATACCTCAGGAATAGTTGTAATTTACCCTTAATTAATTATGTTCTACTAGGCCAAACAAGATTACACAATTATTTAATTAGCTGTTAAACAAAATCTGAGTTTTACACAAAACTAGTTTAAACTCAAAACTTGTAAACTGATAATGGGCTTAATCCCACATTGCACCCTTTAAATATACAATTTTAGCACTTTGCACCCTCGAAATAAATTAATAGTACTTTGCACCCTCGAAATACAAACTATCATGCATAATGCATCCCATATGAGTTTTTAAAGCTAATAAAGGTAATTTAGTGGTATTTAAAAGTTATATTTTTTATCACAAAAAATATTTTACGAACAAAAAATTCAGCTATTTCTTTATAAAGTTATCTGAAAATTATATTTTCTTCCAAATATTTATACCCAACATTTCCACCAATTACAACAAAAGATCTATCAATCGAATAATTTACCGATAAAACTTTATTAGATTTTATTTAAGTAAGAAATTCTTTTTTTTTTCAATTATCCGGTATGATTTTAATTTTTTTTTGCACTTTGTGCGCTCGAAATTATGGTAGATGTTGAAGAAATAACAATTTAATTTGTTATTTTGCACCAAAAAAAAACACCAATAAAAAATAAATTATGCTTAATTATTCGATTAAGGTTGCATTGTGAATGATTTATTATGTTCTGCAGGTAAAAGGTGCAAAGTGGGATTAAGCCCCAATAATGCGTAGATGTTAAAAACGAATAGTGTTTCCATTATATGGATATGTGTATTTCATTATGAATACAACTTATTTTGAATTAGATTCGTTATCATATGTAATTAAGTTCGATTTTTTTTTTTTTTTTTTAATCATGAAACAAAAAAGCACAAATTAAATCGTACTTCACACAAAAGTCATGTCATTTTGCAAAGGGGCAGAAAATCAGTTTTGCTATTCAGAACACAAATTTGCAGCCCTTATGTAAAGCTTGTCTACAAACTTTCTCCACATTTAATTTGATTTTTGTCTTTTGTTAGTTAATGCTGCGAAGGACTATTGCAAATGGATTTTGGTTTAGTATTTTACTTTTTTCTTTTTAGCATTATTATTATATATTTATATTCCACCACTCAATCTTTTTGGGCCATGAGCAGAGACCCGGATATTTGGGCTGACCCGGATGAAAGATTCGAAAATGACCCGAGAGATTTCACGGGAATGACTTTGAGTATATTCCGTTTACGGTAAAGTGAGTTTTGAACTTTGATGAATTTTAATCAATATCAAAATATAATCTCAAATATTAAATGAATATTTGATAATTCAATTTTAATATTTAGAATGAAGTTGCTCTTACAATTTTGATAATGCAATTTTAATATTTAGAATGAAGTTGCTCTTACAATTGTTTTTAAGGGAAAAGAATAATATTATTAGGCATAATGTGCCAAATGAGAGGGAAGAGAAGACCCTTCATTACAAGACGAATGGTTCATCTTAGCAATAGCATTGGCTAGTTTATTGCCGTTTAACGAAATCAAATGAAACAAAACTAAACGAAAACTAACAAAGCTAGGAATTAAAATTAACGAGAAAAAAGAACAAAGAAAATGAAATCACGATCTTTTTTTCCAAAAAAAAAAAAAAAAAAAAAAAAAAAAAAGATCTTGCTCTTTCTCATGGCACATTTTTCTTTGGAGGACTGCTCATACAATGCTTCGACACTCCCAAGTAACAAAATTAAAACGGCGACTTTCG